GACGTACCCTGCTGCCCACCCCAAGCCAAGCGGTCTGCGTAGGGCAGGCCCCTCCCTGGGCTTCCAGCAGCCCCCAGCCCACCTCCCCGCTGCCACCAGGAGGAGCCAGGGCACCCCCTTCTTAGAGCTCTCCCCTGCTTCTTGCTGTCCCTGGTTCTGTGGCCGTGCCACCTGGACCCCACCCAGATCCCTCCTGTTCCTTCCAAGCTGACAGTGTCACTGCTCAGGGCACGTCCCATGTGCCCTACCCACTGTGGGCACCTCACTGCACGCTGAACGCCTTTCGTCGTAATCATGGCTCGTCAGGCAGTTAATCGGCGAGGCCCGCTGTCGCGGAGAACCGTCCGGGCGGGCCTGCCTCCCGGGGCTGTGCGGTGGGCAGGGACAGTGACCAAGGAGGAGGATTTGCAGGGGGCTGGGAGGGGAGGGCCCCACAGGCATGCCCGCGTCCCATAAGCGCTCAGGTTTCTGCCCTCTCTCCGTGTCCTCTTTGTCCTGAGTGCCCCGGGGGCCACCAGCAGCCCATCAGAAGATTCCTTCCACATCTGTGCTGGGGAGGGCCAGGCCTTGTGTGTGGCTCAGCTCCTCCCTCCTCTGTCCCCTTATGCTAGAAGGTCCTCTTCTAGGGCTGGAGTTACCAGGGCCAGATCCCAGGCTGGTCTGGAGTTGGCACGTCATGAAAAACTGCAGTGACGTTGGAAGAAAGACCTTACAGGCCACGGAGCAGGAAGAACGTGGGTGTGTGGGAGCTGCCTTTAGTTGGTGGCACCCCTGCACCCTGTGCCTTCCCATGCACATGGGGCCACTGACAGCTGATGGGGCGACTGCAGAGGGAGAGTCGTGTATGGGGCAGAAATCAGTGTGGCTTCTGAAAAAGCTGAGCCACGATGCGGCCTCGTGGGGCTGGCTGTGGACGGGGAAGTACCAGGCAGGTCGGAGGTTAGAAGATGTGTCGGCGGCCGCTGCTGAAGGGCAGATCGGGCGGTGGGCACAGGAAGCTGCGTGTACCAGGTGGGGTGGGACAGCCCGGGCCAGCAGACGGCCCTCGCCACCGCCGCCATCCCCTGGTTCCCTGCCCTCAGCCTGGCCACACCGCAGTGGCCCCGAGAGGCCGAGTGCCTATGCTGTGCTTCGGCACTGGTCACCGGGCTGTGCTCAGCTGTCCCCACCCCCAGCTGAGAGGCAGGGCCGAAGCGGCTGTGCCCCCTGGATGTCCCTTCACAGCAGTGCCTGCCTGGTCCTCAGGCTTGGGGGAGAGGCGTCTGAACGCAGGTGGGGAGCCCAGCTGTGGACAGTCCAGCTGTCGTCTCGTGGCCTTTTTAGCCTGTTGCTTGGGCTGCTGGTTCTGGAGGCCCTGTGTCCCCATCCGCGGCCCGTTGCCAGGTGAGGCGCAGAGGCAGGAAGCCTGAGGCCTGGTCGGGACTTGCCGGGGTGGCGTACCTTCCGGTGTCCGTCCCGCTCCTCCGCTCCCAGACAGCGGAGCCTGTCCTACTTCTGTGGGCGTGCGGGGAGTGGATGGGCAGCTGGACAGCCGCCGGGACACTCGGCCGCAGGCTCGGCCCGTGGGGCTGGTTCTGGGGACATTCTTCTCTGCCCGCGGCGGCCTCAGGCGGTTCTTCCGCGCATTAGCAGTTCTGGCTTCCTCTTCTTACTAAACGGTTGTGAAATTAGTAACTCGTTTTCTTCCTAGTTATCTTCCTTTGAAGGTCCATAAAAATCTGAACTCCCTCTCAACTCCTGCTGCACAGTAAAACAGTGAGAGCACGACCTCCGTCTGCCGGCTCTGTTGCTGCGGTGGCTCGAGGGGGAGGCGGGGGCCAGCGTTGTACAGGCGGAGCAGAGCGGGGACAGTGCGCAGCCCCCTGCTTCTCTGCCCCTGCCAGATGTCGCCCCCTCCTCTGCACCCCGTGTTGCCCAGACCCCGAGGGGTTGGTGAGCTTCCTGCTTCTGCCCCTGGGGCACAGAGGGCAGTGCATGCAGAGCCAGACGCCCAGGCTCTGCCGCCTGCCGGCTGGTCCCCAACAGCTACCCTGGTCTCGGGGCACAGGAGGGCTCTGGGATGCTCTCCAGGCACCCCCACCCCCGCCATGGCTCCGCGAACGTGGGAGCGGAGAGAGGCCGGGCTGGCGCCGTGCGGGGAGCCAGGCCCTGCGGACGGGTGGGCCCGCGTGCCCTTCAGACACGATGCCAGCAGTTTTTCTGCAGTTTGTCTTCCATCGCGGTAGTAAAGTTTTTAATTAGGAAAGCTAATGAGATCGATTAGTCATTAGAAGTGACCTCCGCACGCGGGGCGGAGAGGGCCGTGTGTGCGGGCCTGATAACGCGCGCCCGGCCCCGCTGGCAATAAAGGCGCGAAGGGCTCGATTTGAGTGAAATGTGCCACGGGGAGTACATCACGCGGAGGAAAAATTACAGCCCTGGGAGCCTGTAATGAAGGGAATTAAACCAACGTCCTATCTAAATAACACGATTATCTACACAGAGCCTCTGCCAGCAGCAGGGTGGGCGGGAGCCCTGCCTGGCCGGGGCTGCGGGAGCAGGGGAAGCCGCGGTGGGGGGCTGGGGTGTGCCTACCCTGCCCCCTGGGGAGCAGGCCCGGGAGGGAACTTCCTGCTCTGCTGAGGCCACGCAGCTGCCCACCCTGCTGAGTCCTCGGTGTCCTGGGCGCGAGCTCCGTGGGCCGTTCTCTCCTGGGTCATGGTCAGTGTTCCCACCGCCTGTGTCTGAGCTGCTCGTTGTGGAATGACAGAGCCAGGCTGTGGGCGTCACATCCCACTGTGTGGGTGGGGGGCCGGGGAGCCCTCCTCTGCCTCTCAGGACCACTGGGGTGAGGATGTATAGCAGGTGACACGGTAGGGACAGGAGGCCTTGCTGCTTTGGGCTCCCTGAGCAGTGGCACTCGGGTACCATGTGCAGTGGGGTGATGGGAACGCTGACCTCGCAGTGGGCCTGCGTCCCGCGGGAGCGAGCTGCGAACCCTGATGCTGGTTCTGAGGGCCCGGCCTGGAGGCTCTCACTCAGCCTGGGCACTGTGTGCCAGGGGGAGCTTTCTAGAATGCGGAGTCCGGTCCTGTGGGCAGTGGGGACTGGGGCGTTCCTGGAGGACGTGGCATCTGCGGGACTAGGGATGGGGGAAGGCAGTGTCCTGCAGCAGGGCGAAGGTCCGGCCCTGGGCGTTGGGGCTCCCTGCACTGCGGTTGGGGGGGGAGTGAAGGCCACGCCCCAGCCCCGCCCTCCTCCCCACCTGTGCAGAGCAGCCCTGAGCCGCAGGGCCGCATGGTGCCATGCTCGTCTCCCAGAGCAGCGGGCGGTGGCCTCCGTGAGAGCCCGCAGGGCACAGACAGGGCATAGTGGGGCTGCTGGGGGTGGCGGCGAGGGAGCACAGACAGGTGGGCTGTGTAGCTGCCGGGGCTGCGGGAGCGGGAAGCCTGGAGGCCACGAGGTCGGCTTGGGGCTTGGCAGCAGCTCCAGGGCAATCTCGCGCTCTTGCGTTCTTAGTTGGAACAAGCTGTTATTGATTCGTTGGTCTCTTCTTGCTTGTAGACCTCGAAAATTCAATTCAGCAAACATTTATTTACTGACGCCCACTGTGTGCTGGGCTTTCCTCTCCCTCCCAGTGTACGGGGGGTGCCCAGAGCTAAAGATCACTCCCTCGGGGAGAGCCGGAGCCCAGGCCATGCCACTGTGCCTTTGGCTTTGCTGCACTTGCCTCTGCCCTCGGAGGGAGAGGGGAGGGGCAGGGAGGCAGAGGGTCTCTGCCGGCGGACCCTGGGCCAGAGGTGTCCCCGGCTCCCAGCAGTCCCTGGGCCACGTGGCCTAGTCTGTGAGGGCACGGTGTTTCCTGTTGGGCTGGGTTTTCCTGCTCCCTGGGCGGCAGGCAAGGTACCCCGGGGCACTGTGGAGTCCATTGGGCGGGGGGAGCCCGGAGAGGAGGTATGTGGGCCGAGGTGCAGATTCGGGGAGGACCCAGCTGTGGGCTGGAGGGCTGTTGAGTTCAGGGTTCAGAAGTGGTTTTTACTGACAGTTACTGTAACTATTTGTGGACCAGGGATGGCTCCCGTCTGGGTCAGGGGTCTCTGGGAGGATGTCTCCTTAGGGCCTAGGACAGCAGGCACAGGTTACAGAGTGTGGGTGGTCGGCCCCACCTAGGGCTGGCACCAAGCAGCAAGATTGTAAGGCCCTGAGGGTCTGGTGTCACTGAGCAACTGTCCTTCTCTTCCTCCTGGAGCATCCTGAAGCCGAGGGCCAGCCCGCTCTGGCCCAGGGGTCACAGCTGCCCTCATGCTGATGCCTGGGCGGTGAAACTGCGTGTGCTCTTCCCTGGGGGCCTCACCTGGCACATGTGCCCCTGGTCTCTGTCCATGCTCCCCAGCGACTGTGCTGGCTGCGCTGCCCCACGTGTGTGTCTCGGGGTGGGAAGCCACCTGCTGCTGGGGTCCTGCCAGCAGCCCCCTTCCAAGCCAAGCCCTGGGCGCTGTGCCTGTAGCTCAGAGGGCCACAGGAGGAGCCCGAGGCCGCCTGGCTCTTAGGGGAGCTGGGTCCGCAGGGGAAGCCAGACGTCTGTGTCCCCGTGCTATGGCAGCTTTAGTTTCTGGGCAGTTAGCACTGCATATTATGAGAGTTAGGCAATTAGACGTGTCCTGTGAAGCTGTGGAGAAGCTGCCAGCTATCGCGTGTGAGGGAACTCGGGCAGAACAGAGCCCTGTTAATTGCATGAAACATTAAGCAGGAAGAGCAGCCGGGGTATACATCACGCTGAAGCGATTAAGTACGTCATCTGCGTGGGTACTCGATGGGGGTCATCGGAGAGGGAGCTGAGTGCTCGCATCCCAAGCCTCCTGAGACCCGCCCGAGGGCGCCTCTGTGCTACCCACGGGAGCTCCGGGGCGTCAGGCCTGCGCCCAGCTCTCTGGGGGACGTGTGTGGGGTGGGGTTGGAATGAGGGTGCCAGGGAGTCCCTGCCTCCCCGCTGACCGCCAGTGTCTGGGTTTTCTCTGCAGCATCCAGCCTGCACACCCTGCGGACCCCTCCCACCAGCAAAGTGATCAAGACACGCTACCGCATCGTCAAGAAGACCCAGGGGTCACCTCTCAATGACACCCCCTTCTCCCTGTCCCTGCCCTCCTGGCGGACACGGCGGCTCTCCCTGTCCAGGTAGGAGGTCCTCATCCAGGCCCCTGTGAGCCTGGGACCGGACTGGCAGACTTCAAGGCCGCAGGGTGGGGCCTGAGGGCCAAGGGGACCAGGCTCACTGCGCCGAAGGGCTTGCTCCGTGGTTTGCTGGCTGAGGAGTGGGCGGATTGTCCTGTTCAGCAGTTTCTGCCCCAGATATATGGCCGGCCTGTGCGCCGCATGCAAACACAGACACACGCACACCCCTGTGTCAGCCAGCCGTGAGCTGGTGGCCCGGTGGGGCCGCACCATGAGCTGCGCCTGGGTGTCCCTCAGGGAGAACCTCGTGGTGAGAGAGGCTGGGCCCTGAGCAGCCCCCTTGGGGAACCTGTGGGCCCATCTTGCTGTCTGTCTGGTGGCTGAAGGCAGAGGGAGGCTACAGCCCTCCTGCCCGCCGTGCTCTGGTCCTGCGGCCTCGCTGCAGGCTGCTGCTGGCCGAGAGCCCGCAGGGCTGGCCGGCTCTACCTTCTTTTCTGGGTGCCCTGGGCTCAGAAGCAGGAGGGCTAGAGAAGCCAGGGAGGCAGTGTTAGGGGTGGATTCTGGGGGCCCCTCTCTTTGGGCTGCTCAGCTGTGGGGCTTCAGGAGGCCCGGTGCGGGGGCATGGCCCCTTTCTTCAGAGGTGGGGATGACGGCCTTGGTCATTGGGTGGGAATCAGGCAATGACCGACCCCCTCCCTCTGTCCACCTTTTGAGATCCTGCTTGTTGGGGGAGCAGTGTGGGAGCCCCTAGGTCCAATGTGGGCTTCCAGCTGGGTACAGTGGGCACTCCAGGGCACATAGCCTTGGGAGAGAGACTGTAGTCTTGGGTAGGGGCCATCCTGCCAGCCCCCCACAGGCCCTGCCATCCTCTGGGCAGTGATGGCGTGGCTCTGGGCCATGGGGAGAGGAGGTGTAGCCTGTGGCCCACGGCAGATGTGCCGGCTTCAGCCCGCCCAAGTGGCCAGTGGTGCCCACTGCCCTTCTCCATGGGAAACTTGTCTCTGTCACCTACTTTTCTGGACGCAATAGCTGGAAGTATATTTTAAATTAATTTTACTGCACTTTTTGTAATATTTTTGTTTTAAATAGATTTATAAGCATCTTGAGGGCTATTTCTACAAATTTATGAAGATAATTTTCGCTCTCTCGGTAAGGTTAAATTTACACCTGCTATTTCCGTATTAATTCACAGAGCTAAGTGGGTCTAATTTTCTTCCGTCCTCCTATCTGGTGAGCATGGCCTTTCCTAATGCAATTTCCCCCTCACTAAATCACTGTGGTCGGGAGTCAGGATCGAGCTAAATTAACTTAAATTAATTTACTTAATAAGAGCCCCAGATCATCATGAATGAGGTTCAGATTTACTGATTCTTGCTCCGGCCCCCGCTCCTGCAGTCAGCACCCCTGGCCAGTCCCCGCCTCTCCTAGGAGTGCAGCGGGGGCCTGGGGGTGACTCAGTAGGGTGACACCAGTGGGCCTCTCGTCCCGGCCTCAGCACTGAGTTTGAGGCCAGCTGAGCCCGTGCTGAGTGTGCTGGGTCCTGACTGGGTCGCTGAGCGACATGGATGCCAGGCACAGAGGGTCGAGGGCTCCCGTAGGAGGGAGGTGGCCGCGTGCGCCCCCAAGGCGGCAGCTGCCCTGCACCTTCAGCCCAGCATCAGACCCATCAGGTAGAGGGCAGACTGGTCATAAGGGTCGGGGGTGCTGAGAGGGCGCCTGCGTGCCGTGTGGGCAGGTGCGTAAGGTCCCACCTTGGGCCAGGTGGATGGGCGGGCTGCCAGGGGAGGCCCTACTGTTAGCCCGGTGTAGCCACTGCTCCCCCCAGGTTTCCCAGCGAAGGAGGTGCCTGGCCAGCTGCCTTGCAGGGCAGGCCGTGCACGCCCGGATGCCCTGGCTCTGTCCGGCCCCCCAGGCTGCCCCGCCTGTCGGAAGGCCCAGGTCCTGCAGCCCCGGCTCGTGCCCTCTGGCCTCAGCACCTTCCCAGTGGGAGGAAGCTTGGCCGAGCCCACCCCCAGCATGTCCGGATGTCAGCAGAGGGTGTGTGTCGGGGCTGTGCCCAGTGGGGCCTCTCTCCACCCCCCACCTCCCCCGGGCCTGTCTGGCCTGTTGCTGGTCACACCGTGAGCACAGAGCTCTGGGCCCTGTTGGGGCCTGGCCTCTGGGCTTGGCCTGCAGGGCGGGGTAGGTACGGGGTGCTGAGGCTGAGCAGCTCAGGAGGCCCTGAGAAGCATGGCTGCCCGCGAGCTGGGCTTCCTTCACCCAAGGTCACCTGGGCCCTGGCCGGGGTGGCCTTCTCAGCAGAGTGGCTGCCAGCTGGTGGCACGGCCCTGCTGTTGGGAGGGCACACCTGAGCCCAGCTTGTCCACGCAGCAGAAAGGGCCCGTCTCCGGGTGGCGGCAGTCTGGGGCCCGCCCGCCTGCCTCCTTCAGCTCCAACAGGGCCAGGGCTGCCTGTGTGTGGTCAGCAGGCCCAGGGTGGCTCTGGGGCCGACTGGCTTTGGCTACGGCCTCAGCCTCTGCTCCGTGAAGCCGCAGGCTCCTCAGCTCTCCCCTGGCAGAGGGAGGGGCTGGGCTGGTGGAGCGACCCAGGCCAGCGTGGGCCAAGGAGAAAGCAGGGCTCTCTCGCCACCAGCTGGCCTGTGCCCGGGGACGGAGGGCTCTCCTTTGGTGTGTACCCACCCTGGATGGAGGACTCTCCGAGAGGCCAGCAGGCGGGCCCAGCAGGCCTAGGCATCTCAGTGAGCAGGGTTGGCGCTGGTGGACGCAGGCGGGAGGTGAAGTAGGCGGTCCAGCGGCTGGGAGGGCCAGCTTTGGCATGGTGGCCCCGAACCCCATTCTCTTGCAGACACTGACTACATGTATGTGGTCACTGTGGAGGGGAGCCGTGTGTGCTCTGGGGGCCCCGGGGCCTTGGTGGGCACTACCTGCTCCGTGACCCTGGGCAAGCGGGAAGGCCGTGGGGTCGGCGCCCAGCTCTGAGGCCACAGGGCTGCTGCCCGTGAAGCAGTCTGGAGCCCCCAGGCATCCTGAGCACGGCCACGTCGGACCCCAGGCTCGGCATAGCCCCTTGCCGACCAGCTGCTGGCGTTGGCAGGTCCCTGCCCTCCTGCTGAGGGACGACCACCTCATAGTGGTGGTGGCTACCACCAGGGTCCTGGCATCAGAAAGTCTGTGAGGGTAGCAGAGCCATTGCCACCCCTGTCCTGAAAGGGACTGGACAGCGCCCTGCCCCGGGCGAGGATGGGGACCCCTCCCTAACTCTGACTGCAGCCTTCACCCCACATGTCAGGGCCCCTCGCCTTTCCCACCCTCACCACGGAGCGGGCGGGCTTCCTCTCAGGAGGGGCCCACCATCTCTGGATGCTCTGAGCGGCCTCCACCGTCCCTCCAGCTGGACTGGGGTTTCTTCTCACCTGTCGCTGTCCCCAGGCCTGGCATCTGGGACGAAGGCAGAGAATGCGGGGTCCTTGGCCCATCTGCCCTCTCTAGAAGCCCATGTGCAGCACAGTAGCCCAAGACGTGTGGCGGTGTGGCCCACTGTGTACCACCCTGCTGGGCGCCGGTGCCCCACGGTTGCACAGGTGGCCTTACCCTTTGTACCCCTCTCAGCACGTGTGGCGGTGTGGCCCACTGTGTACCACCCTGCCGGCCGCCGGTGCCCTCACCCTTTGTCCCCCTCTCAGTGCTGTGTCAGTATTGGCCCAACAGGTGGGACGCAGCGGTGACGTGACAGCCTTCGTTCTAGGTGACCGGGGCGTGCCCTCCCCTCAGCAGTTCCGTTTGGCCGTGAGGTGCAGGCAGGGCCGGCACGCCTAGGGGGACCCTGACTCCAGGAGTGACCCAGAGAGCGGCCAGGAGGAGGTCAGCCCATCAGGTCCGTTGGCCAGCCAGGGATTGAGGTGGGACAGACAGGTGGGAGGCAGCCAGGCAGCAGCCGCTGGACCCTGCGGGCACTGCTGGGCAGGGTGTCTAGGAACAGGCCTGTCCACTGAGAGCTGGGGGCACACGAGGTGGCTGCCGCCCTGGCCAGGAAAGTGCCTGTTGCAGCCCGGGCAGGAGGGTCCAGGGCACAGCGGGCCCTTCCCAGGAAGGACTTGCACCTGTGTGGGGGCGGCGTCTGCGGTGCCGCGTCTGTGCTGCCTCCTGGGTGCAGGGGCAGTGGCTGGTGGCCCGGAGGCTGCGGGTGGAACTGGGCCCAGGGCCCCAGGGGCCCGGCCGGGCTCAGGGTGTGTGCAGGCCCAGGCTCTCCGGGCAGAGGCCGGCACCCCAGGGCTGAGGCTCTTGCTGAGCGAGGGCTTCATTTTTCTCTTGTTGCGAGATTTGTGTCTTCACCGGCTTTCAGCGAGTTCATTCATTGGAACTGAAGCTGAAGTGTGACTTATATCCTTAAACTGCCTGCCGCTTTTTATCTCTTTCCGAGTTCACTTGACGTGAAGGTGGAACTAGACAGCAGCCGCTGTGCTTACGCAGCTGCGCCCAGAGGCCGCTCGTCCCGGCCGCGCGTGGAGCTGTCACTCGCTGCCGGTCACCAGGCCGCCTCACTTCATCTCGTTTTACTTCTGTGACTCCGCGGTGAATCTTGAGTCATCTCTCAGTTTGATGAAGTTTGGGCTGTGGTTTCGAAGGCTCTGAAATGCTTCTCCAAAGTGGCATCTCGTGAGCGAGGATGGGTGTCCCCGCTGGTGGCCAGGGCGCCTACATGTTCCCCTTGCCCCACCCCGGCTCTCCTCGATGGCCAGGCGCTCCGCATGGCCTCTTGGGCGCCTCTGGTCACGGTGTCGGGCAGCGGCACAGACCTGCAGGCCTGGAGCGTTAGCAGCGCGTTGCACCTTGCGGCTCTGCGGGCCGGGACCCCGAAATCAGGCGGCATAGGCAGTCTGCCTGGGCGGAGCCTGGCCCTTCCCAGGCCCTCCCTGCACCCTCTTCTGGCCTGTTACCTCCCCAAGGCCCACCTCCACATGGGCGTGAGGGCTCCCACATGGAGTGTGGGGGCACGGTTCAGCCCCTGGGGGGTGCGCCCTGCTCGGCC